AACGAAGAAGGTCATGATACTATGGGACGGGAAGAGGTAGCGCTCCCTCATCACCTAACCGCGTTAACCCGCGTTAGACTCTACTGTGAAGCGCAGGGACCAGAGCAAAGCTTTCAATGAACAGATACTACTTTTTGTCTGCTACAACAGAGTAAAGTTATTCAATGCTGTTAAATCTTGTAGATTAGCCGGTGGAATCGCTGAACGGGCAGCACAAAAGTGGGCCAAGAAACTCAGAGGATAAAGACTGGAATATCTTGGAAAAACAAACTAACAAGCTAACAGACCAAATGCCCAACTTGAAGAGAAGCATAAAATTCATATTATCAACTTCTACGATGATCACCCCCAAGCTCGGGCCCTTGACGCGGTTGCATCACTTACAGAGAAATTCGAAGATTTTACTTTAAAAGAAACCAGCGTTCAAAGCTTCTTGAAAAAGGACTGCAATCTTTCATTCAAAAAATAACCCGCCACCCAGCACCAAGGAATGATCCAACTAAAATTGCAAATTGTATAGCGTGGGTTGAAGAGTGGAGTAAGGCAGATATGAACTATCTTGAAAACTGTGTTTTTATGGCTGAATCAGGTTTTGACATCAACATGAGACCTCTGGGAGGATGGTCTATGAAGGTATACCAGCTATTGTGATCACTCCCTCCACTAGGGCAATATCACACACAGTTTTAGGCGCAATTTCAGCAAAATTTGTCGTGTCAATGGAGCTTAGAAATCCGCAAGAACACTCATCAAAAAGGATAAAGATCGAACTTGGCAATCGTAAAAGGAAAGCACCATCTGAATCCAAAAAAAAAAAAACCTGCCTCTAAAGGTACTGTCACAGGTCATTATTTGCATTTTATTCAAAAAACTATGGGTGAAATGGATCATTTCCCTGAAATGGAAGGTTATTATATGGTAATGGATAACGCACCCATTCATACTGCCAAAGAAATAGATGCTATGACAGAAAGAGGATATAAATGCGTTTACCTCCTACCTTACTCCCCTGAGCTTAATCCTATCGAGCAATTTTGGTCTATAGTTAAGAATAAGGTCAAACGTAGCCAATTTCAGAACACTGAGGATTTAGCTACTAGAGTACTGGAAGCCTGTAATATTGTTCTCCGCGAACACCTTCAAGTATTTGTGCAGCACTCAGTAAATGCTTTCGAAGAGTGTTTGAAGGGTGATCACATTTAACAATTTAGTTCTTCAAATAATTAATAAAGCTGCCCTTTGACGAACGCTTTTTAGAACTAATAAAATAACGCTTTTTTACTTATATCTATATAATTCATTAAAAACGTACAGAAGAGTTTCTTCTTCGATATTTCTTTTCGCTAACCAACACTTCTAACTGTTTTAAACTGGGTTCTATTCTTTTCATACTGGAAAATTCTTGAGATGTATTCTTCTCTTTTTTGATTTTATCGAAAGCATGAGCTGCTTGCATTAAACACATAAGAGAATGACGCGTGATCAACGTTTTCAAAGTATTTACAGATTTAGGAATTTGGATACTATTCAATTCAGCCATAACATATACACCATCAAATGCGAGTTCAATAATATAAAGTGTTACACTATGGCCTATATTTATAAAAGGTGAATACTAATACTGCTTCTTTGCTTAAAATCAATCATACCTTTTGATTGGAAAGCGAAGGATGACTTAACATTGTCTTTGTTGATAATATTTCTGTTAAAATAACCTAATCGACATAAGTCCCAAGTAAGAACATAATAGTTTTCTGTGGCTTCCGCAATTTTAGCTTCACCATGTCCGAAATTTCTTGACCATTGAGACTGACTCATAATAGAAACTATACCGCCAGGACGTTCACCTTCTTGAATATCTTTTTGATTTGTCCTTTTGCACTCAATTAACAAAATTATACCTTTTCTGTTCATGATAATATTACCTTTAATATCTAAGATGAACTTCTTCTGGACTATTAAGTAGGAAATCTAACACTGGATCCACGTAAGCACTCCAAATTTCTGTCTTGCTTGTACATCGTTCTATAGGTTCTCTCAGGTAATTTTTCCATTCTGCTGAGCTTTGAAGCTATTAATAAATATATCACGCCTTTAGTATGTATCATTACTTACTTACAATCTTCTAATACAATTGACCACACTTGTTTTAATATTATCCATCTTGAGTATCAATCTACATAATTTGAAAACAGCAACGTTGAAAGATACTTTTAAGTTGATAATCCTAGAGATAAACATTTAATAGTAAATAACCATTTCAAATAAATAAACAAAAAAGTTCAAATGCAGTTCTACATCTATTGTTGTATTCAGCTTTAGAGTTATTGAAAAAGGCTATTAAATCGATGACTTGCGAATTAGATCCTTTATTAAGAGCTGCTTATTTTAAATTAAGTTTTTGTGAGAGTTTACTTGGGTAGAGCCTAACGCGGGTTAACGCGGTTAGGTTATGAGAGAGCACCACCTCTTCCCGGCCCATAGTATCATGATCTTCGTCATAAAAAAAAATGTGTATTAAATTAAATCAAGGAAAGTCGCATAGAAAAGCAAAACTGCCCTTTAATTTCAAAACCCGCCCTTTGGCGTTGGTCTTACTGTATGTCCCTTTTTTCTAATTTTGTAGATTCTGTTGCTACAGCCGTCGATTCGGTAACATTAAATAAACGATCAGATGGTTTGATTCATAGCGTCATCAAGGTAAATCAAGGATGCTTCAAGCTACAAAAGCTATTAGGAGAAGGGTAACTACCCATGTTCAAGATTATAAAAGCTAATCATATATTCATATATATATAAAAGGGGATTTGCCTTTGTTTATCTTGCTCAGGATGATAAAAAGCAACTTTATGCTATAAAAGTGATCAAGTGTGTAAGTAAAGAAGTGACAGAAAATGCCAAGAAAGAAGGGATCCTGTTGAGCCGACTGAACCACGATAATATCATAAAAATCAAAGTATAACAAACAAAGAAAGAAGGAAAATAACACTGTATTAACATCAACAAAAGGATATGTGTATGATTAAAGAAGACGATGGAAGCAAGATGTTGTATATGATTATGCCTTTTTATAAGGTAACATGTTCATTTATGCTTGATATTATATAAACATTGTTTCATTAGAGAGGAAGTGTGCAAGATTTAATAGACAACAATCGTAAAAGTGGAAAATGTTTAGAAGAAGAATATATTCTCTCTTTATTTAAGCAAGTATGTCTTGGTGTTAAAGCATTGGCGGATTATAGAAACAGACAGGGAATTCATCAACCCTGGGCTCATCGAGATATCAAACCAGCGTATGTGAAATAAAACAAGAATTCATAAATAACCAACGTCCCTTTTATATAGCAACATATTACTTTCAGATGATGGCAAAACTCCAGTGTTGATGGATTTTGGTTCAGCGAGAATAGCAAGGATAGAGATTGATGACAAAAAGATGGCTAATAGAATACAGGATGAGGCAGCCGAACATTGTTCTATGCCATACAGAGCACCTGAGCTATTTGATGTTAAAGTAAACAGCAAAATAGATGAAAGAGTAGACGTTTGGTCACTAGGATGTACTCTGTTTGCAATGGCATATGGTGAATCGCCTTTTGAAATGACGATAAATCGACAAGGAGGAGGGTCAATAGGCCTTGCTGTATTAAATGGACAATATACTATACCAGACAAAGGCTTATATTCCAATTTATTACAAGACTTAATATCGTACATGCTTACTGTTGATCCAAAAGATAGACCAACAATTCATTCCATCTTACAAAAAATCAGCTTCAAATAAAACTTCTCTTTCTCCTGGTATATCGCCTGCGGGTATCAGATCCCATAGTTGATGTGTGTTATCATATCCAAACTTTTTATGATACAAAATGACTCTCGTTCCATCCAAGGTGCTATTGCCTTTGACATCCAGCACCATGTGTGGGTCAGCTAATACATAGATATACCCTTTGCTATAACCCCAACGTTGATTATGAGCATCTGCTACCAGTTTACGATCATACTGACATATCCATGCATTGTCCACCAAAGGCCCACCTCTGACGTCTAATACCTTGCCTGATTTTTTATTAACTATGAAACCATCCTGATGTATTATTAGGAAAAAGCTATAGTCGCAAAACTTACTTGATAATACCACAGCTGGTTATCTCTGTCTTCGTTATGCTTAGGTGTCCATATGAGTATCTTGCCGTCATTCTACACTTTAAGCCATTACTATTCTGTTTTTCTTTTTGTGTATGTGTGTATGTCATTTTTACTTTCAGTGAAGCGCCGTCAACTAGAACAAGTTAGCAACAACAATAAAAAATCTTTAGGTATTTACCATCAATGACTTTTCCAGAATGTCGAGATTTTATGTAAAAGTATCCAGCAGGGAAATCTTCCATAAGAAAAAATGTATATGCAAATGAAACTGTTGAACTGGTGACTTTTTATTTCTTTTTTTTTTT